GGAGCCTCTTGGGTGAGAGCTTCAGGCCTTCATTGCACTTTTAGAAGAGCCTCATGTTTGCACTACTGCACGTTAGAATAATTCCGGTAATCTTATTATTGACTGTAGAAAATATTTCGTGTGTCAAAATTTCACGGGTCACTTCAACTACAAAAATATTTTAACAACGAAAATTTCCCCACCTACAGTACGTGACCAACTAACCATACATGTACATGTATACTTTATGATTCATTAAGTATACACTATGTTTTATAGTATTGTTTAATTACTGTGCAAGTCTTAAAATGTTTCAAATTCATACAATGCATTGTACATGTATTGTACATGTATGGCACATGTATGTGTACTATAATTTTTATAATTTTATCTTCAACTTTCTTCCTTTCATTAGTTACTAATAATGGAGTCATTCTTTGATCGAGAGGTTAAGAGGTTGGATTTTGTTAGTGAGAGAAACAGAATGAGAGAAATAGAAAAGAAAGCACTTGATGAGAAGAAAGCTTCAGCTCATGATGAAGAAGAAGACGTGAGTACATTTAATACCATATACATTTATGGGTATACATGCAGTGCTACAAATTTGCACATCTGATATCTTTTCTGTTAGAAAGGTTAGTATGTTCAGTTTTTGCTCAAAGCTGCACATTTGGGAACAGCAAGAGAACATTATAATCAATGAACCCAGACTCATGGAATATACCTTTAATAGATATGTGGGTGGCCTAAGTGCACATTATAGTTTGCCACATTTGCATGTATATCTATGGCCAGTAATGCATCATTTTTAAACACTGAACCCAGTTTTTGTTCCTATAGAGTTTATTGCATCGTTTTTATTGCTGTGTAAACGTAGCCTGAAGTCTATGTGTACTTTACCCTCCACCAACTCATTTCACATTTATAATTTTTATTAATAATTATGTTAATTGCATGTAAATGTTACAGGAAAAGAAGACTGAACTTCAAAAAGATGACGAAGAGAAGTATGAACTGGTAAGTGGTGTATGAAAAAATATGAAAAGCCTCTTATAATTTTTGAGTTCTTAGTTTTTTTCCTCTTTAAGTTCTTTATATCTTTTATAGGAGTATAGAGATTATCTAAAGTTGGAACAATCATTATTGATTGAACTAGGACTGAGACAACCAGCAGATGAAAACTGAGAGAGTGTGTTACGACTTGGGAGTGTGAAGAAGAGAGAGATTTTAGTCTATTGAATCATAAATTTGATTTTCAGCCAACAGCTGCCACTTGCAAATGGACTCTTGCAAGCCAGACCATTCCCCAGCCTACAGTCATTTGGGTGGACTGTAGGCTGGGGAATGGTCTGGCTAGTGAGCTATTATACTTACTCAGTGCTTCTACACTCTCAGCATTTGCCACAACATGTGTTGATTTTGTGTTGCTATTGTTTTTACACTGAAATGAGTGTGAAGTACCTAGTCCTAGTCTAACATAGCTTCTGAAACTGTTCACAGCAATTCAGTAATGGTGGGACATATCTAGAGCTGACTGTAGTATTTTTAGCCTGCTACACATTGTTAAAGAATAAATAGATGCTGTTTTTTTTTTCTTGACTTGACTGGCAATGCTGCTCAGTTAAATTAAATTTAAATAGATTTAAGCCCAATGTTATGGTCTAGATCTACTATTTTTATAGTGCAATTCAATCTATAGATGCTACATGTATATATACATTGAAAATACCCCTAGATTAGATCATTGATTAGCCCTTAGTATTCTTGAAACCGCAATTGAAGCGCGGCACGGTCAGTGGGCACAACATAAAATAAAACGAGAAACCTCATAGAAAAGGCCGTTGTTGTTGTTCTGAGGCTCTAGCCTCGGGACAGGATCTGTTTATTGGAACATGGCCACTAGTCAAGGTACCATGAATGATTAGATCTAGATAATTGATGAAACTGATCTGCATCCATTTTGTTTGCAGGTGTTGATGTATTGAAGAGATGTGGCTTTCCAGAAACAAAATGGCATGGGCTTGGACTCAGACTAGGACTAAAGAAGAGTACACTGGACGTCATAGAAAAGAATCATCCTTATGATGTATCTCGCTGTATGACAGAGTGTCTCTCCCAATGGCTAGGTAGAGTTTATAATGTTGACAGTAGAGGAGGAGCCAACTTGGACTCACTGTTAGATGCTCTACGATCTATGAATGAAACTGCTGTAGCTGAAGAGTTAAGTGAGTCAACCACAACTGTATGTATAACTATAATCATTGTATTTTCAATCATAGAACATCATGTTCTGAAAGAAATTTTTAATAGTTTTTATGCTGTCCTGTCTCAGACTCTTTGTGATCCTTTTCCTATTGCCCAGTCACTTTCTGCTGAACATATGTTAACACAAGAAGCATTTGATAGAGTGTCGTCAGCTAATTCCTTTATTCTTAATCAACGTGAGACTCTATTAACTGCAGTCAGAGAAGCTATTCAAACTGATCCCAACAGTTTATGTACATTTGCTAATGTATTATGTGAAATAAGCAGTAATAAACAACTAGGACAAGCTATACTGGATGATATTAGTAAGTATCATTAATAATCCTTACAATTATGCATTGAATATGACCTACATTTTTTATATGTGTAATTAAAACTGTTTTATTTCCCTAATATTAAAGTCAAGTTTGTTCCGGAGGCAATTGATTTACCACAAGGTAATAATTTAATAATATAATTTAGCATGTATTAATTTTGGCATAATAAATATTGGCTAATACTGATAACCAATCCAATATTGTCCTTCTACCTTTAAGGCACATTTTTTCTACACACATGCAATGTGATTATTTATGTATACATTATATACTTGTACCGTTAAATACTTTTATTTGTAAGTATTTTTAGCGGATTGGCCTTTACTATAAATGTACATATGGTGCAAGTTTGTAATAAACAGCTATAGTGATCAAATTATGTGTAGGAAAATTGATGATTTAGCTTGTTATATGATAAAGTAATGCTTCAAGCACTATAGGATATACTGACAGCTGATGATAGAAAATTATGTCGGGTAATTATTAGTAAAATTAAAAATTTTCAAAATATATTTTTAAAAAATTGTCAGTGTTTGAGCACAGTGTATATAAGCGCAAGTGCACACAATTATTTTACAATTTACATTTTTTTTGCTTGAAGCAATGTACTGTGTTCATATTTTTATGGCCGCGAATAATTGCAGCCGCGAATATATCCCGGCCTGAAAAAATTCTATTATATTCAAAAAACTTCTAATTAGCAACCATTAATGTGCAAAAACTATTTTAATTGGTACTATAAGGTGCACTTTGCATGGAGTGTAATGCAGGAAATGAAGGAAGAACTATATTGCTATAGAAAGTTTTGAATTAAATCTAAAGTTACATGTAAGAATTTTTTATTTTGGTTGTAGCTTAAATTTATTCTGCCAGCATAAGCAAGCACAGTAGGTAATTCATTAAATATATGTAAACCAATCACTATGCATTTTATGAATTGTAAAAATTGATCTTATCTGAGCTAGCACTAAAAGAGCACTTTTGTATCATTTGTATGGATGTAATCAATCATCAAGACTGTTTAATTAAGTTTGTATTTTAATAAGGGCATGTGAACTACTTGAAATTTTTACATACAAAAATATAGACCCGACCACATTATGATGTCATCATTATAATATCACAGCTGATGCCGAATTCATTCTTTTCTATAGGGCAAGGTTATACAAATTAAATCTCTTTGTTTGCTATTATGCTGCATGCAATTTATTTATGTCTCAATCCTCACAGTAGATGCTTTAAATAAGTGGTTAAAGGAAGGTAGTGTTGATCTAACTGTTACTCGTGTTAACATGCTTGGTACTCCTGGATCTGGTAAAACCTCTGCCCAGCTCCTACTATTAGATGAAGACCCTCCAACTGAAGAAGTTACTGACAGCACACCAATTGCTTGTCCTACTGTCAGAGCAATAAGAGTAGCTGTAAATGATGAGAACAAAAAATGGAAACGAGTTGATAGGGATGAGTTGCTAGAGAGATTAGCAACTGATTTGAATGAAGTGTCACAAGAGAAACAAGAAGAGATAGTAACTAGATCTGCTTCAGCAACTGAAGCCATGTTAGACACTGGCCATACTTTATCATCATCAGCATCAAATGAAAAACCCACACATGTACCACAAAATAAGGTAGATTTACGTGCTAAAGT